AAAAATTGCAAGCAAACGACTTGAAGAAAAAGATTTGCAATAAACAATACAAACAGATACCAAAGAAAAAAAAATATCTTTGACGTTGACGTTAACATTTTTTTTAACACACTCGCTTTAGCCTCCCAAGTTACGACATCATTTTGATTATCGAATATAGACTTATGTAGGGTTGCCCTGGTTACTAGCTTGCTTTTAGTGAAAGCTGTATTTTACAACATATGAGCTATTAAAAAAATATCAAACCATTGAAGAGGAAAAAAGAATTTCCGAAAATATACCAACCTGAGTGGACCAGATGGTGGACACGGAAGGTGGTGGACAGCGGAGTTGGTCCACCAAAATCAAGTAATTTCTCGTCCAAGCACTGAAAAAAATAATTGTGGGTCTACTTCTCAGGCTATTTGGTCCACCTTTGTCCCACCTGGTCCACCAAAATCAAGTAATTTCTCGTCCAAGCACTGAAAAAAAATAATTGTGGCTTACTTCTCAGGTTATTTGGTCCACCTTTGTCCCACCTGGTCCACCATCTGACATTAAAATCCTTCCAACATATGTGTCTGAGACAAAGGTACATGAGCTTCCTTTTATTTAAATAACTAAATAAAATTGATTGATTTTAAATAAATGTCAAATCATCTTATAGTTCAGATAAAATGTTATTCTATATCGTATCAAGAAACTTTTCATTAAATAGGTTATCAAGTAAGATTGTTTTATTATTTAAAAATTGAACATTTTAATGTTTGTTCTTCAGGTTAAAGCTTAACATTGACAAATAAAGCAATTTGACATGTATTATTTGATGCCACTTAACAAATAAAAGAACTAAATAATATTTCAGTTTCATCGGAACAGTATCCAGCATCCACAATGAGCAGTTAGGTTGATTAGTTAAGATTTTCTAAACAAAGAAGAGGTTGCTAAACTCCTTTACTATTTGTTCAAGGTATTTGTATATATGAGCTTTTTTTGTTTATAGTTTTAGTCCCGAAAACGATTCGTGACATATATCTTGTCTACTGAGTGCTAACAGCTACGTTGTGTAAATGAACTGTGGTCGAAGTAACGTAAATGGGTTAGTTATTCCTGATTCAACTGTAGCCACTTCTTACCAATTCATACTTGAGCTGGAGTTAATTTGTTCATGTCTTTTTAGGAATTAACGCAAAGACTTAAGTTTTGCTTTCCAGATAAAAAGAGTCTCGTTGAGTTGAATTCAGCTGCTTAATCTTGGTGTCCCTCCTTTTATAAAAACCAGTAATTACTTAAGTGTAAGGTATACATCGTCTCTTTTCTTTTTCTGGCCAGACAGTTCTATTGCTTTAAGTTTATGGGGGGGGGGTTATTATGTACGAACAGAGGTTGATTTTAATGAAAAAAAAAAAAAAAGAAAAAAAAAACATTCTAAAAGGAGCAAGTAGGACAATTTTTTATTATACTGGCAAGTAAGCTTGTGCGCTTAAGCAGTGACTCTCCACCGGTGCTCAATGAATTAAGCAGGCAGTGAGACTCGGGGTCAAATACCTCTGAAATTCCTTTTTTCTTTCCCCGCTCACGGGTTCCTCTTTTTTTTTTTTTTTTTTTTTTTTTCAGTAGCTGAATTCTCAAGACTACTCCCGGGTTTAGAAAAAAGAATGCACCCGATTTTTTCTTTGATGAAGCAATAAACCATCAGGTTCTCATGGTGACCACACTGAAAAGCAACCGTTCAAGGTTAAGCCTAGTGACAGCCATGGATTGTAGAGAAGCACAATATTTAAATATAAACAAGGTTCGATTGTTTGCTGTTGAGGTTTTTTATTAAAAAAAGGGGAAACCCAGCTCAACTGTATTTGATGTAGCTGATACAATGATGAAAGACGTAAAAGAAAAGAAGACTTTAAAGACACTGTTTTTCTCTCTTGATAATACCGTAAAAAAAAAAAAAAAAAAAAAAAAAAAAAAAAAAAGCATGATTCACAAAGGACAAGGCAGACGATGTAAAGGCAACGACACTCTCTTTCCCCCCAGTATTTATCCAAACAAACTCTGTATTCGGTGATAATACATGTGTCAAATAAAATGGATTCCGAACATCGTCGCGTATGATTTTTGCTTTTTTTTTGTGATGCATAAACTAGCTTACACCGGATAGCTTGACTATTAACATTCTTGCGCCTCCTTTATGTTGTGTCATTTACGATTCTCATTTACTACTTCACCACCAAATTCCCGTGTATGTTTTCCATCTCCCCCATCCACAAAATTAAAAGCGATCCATTTTTATTGTTCTTATTTCACGGCAAATTAATACGGAATCCATCGGTCATAATCACCAAGTGGTCTTTAAAGAGATGAATAAACTTCCCAACGAAATAGATCTTGGGGCTCCGCCCCGGGCCAGATAACATATTAAAATAAATTCATGCCATCTTCCACGAGTGTATATATAAAAGTCTAGTCTTCTGCTTCAGCCATATGCATGATTTAGTAATAAATTGATGTATGGGTAGCTCTCATGTTACAGGGTTTACATCCAGGATTGAGATTGATCTTTAATTAGGAGGGCTTTATTAAAGAGTAAGTATCACAATCTCATTTAACACAAAGAATAACTCACCTCAAATGATTTATATCTTGACAGCCTACTAGTGTGTATATGCCTGTTGATCACACATAATTCAAGTATAAATATGTCATAGAGGTGCTACGACCAAAGTTTTGCAGGAATTTCAAATCGTTCTTTGCCTTGCTTATGTTAATGTCGTGTAGCTGTTTATCCAGTGTCGATATTATGTTCTTTAAGCACTACCCATCATGCGTAGTGGGGTGGATAAATACAAAGGAGAGGGAAAAATTACGTCGATTTAACACATAATGAGTGATGAATGTCGTTATACATGGGAACGGAAAAGGTATTGGTGCGTTTTATTTCCCTTGCTGGTCTTGCCTTTTGTTGATTTTACGCTTGTTGGATGTCCTCTTGGTGAATGACTAGAAATGAACACCTAGAATTTTCTCCAAATACTAAAAAGATGGAATATACCACCTGAAGTGCGGGTGTAGCTAAAGCTGTTTCACGTCATCAAGTCGGACATGCGTATTTATCAGCCACAGCATAAGGAGTAATGGGCTAGAAATTCAACGCTGCGTTTTCTTCTATTTTTGTACACTGCTCAAAGAATGGCTAAGGAATGACCATCATCCAAAGAGAGCGTGCCAGATCTATTTACAAACAGCACTAGTGTACGGTTGCAGTTTTCGTTTCTATGGTAGACAGCCAAGTGTCTTGACTCGACAAAGTCCTTCTGCTTTAGCCATTTCTGAGCATAACAGAGGTTTTTCAAACGCTGATAAAATTATTTGAAGACAGCCTGGTGGATGTCCTGCTGTGACTTGACTATTCAAGCGCTAACAAAAAAAAAAAAAAAAAAAAAACGCAGGTCTTTTTTTTTTTTTGTCTTTCCCCACCTTCTCCCACAATCTCGCAAGAAAAAGTGTAGGAAGTTTTCCGATGTCACGCTACCTTTGAAACCAGGTTAAACAGGTAATTATACAAGCATGGGGGCTCGCTATTTTTTTTTTCTAATTTCGTTTTTAGCTTCCTAAAGTTTAAAACATCTTGTATCGTTTATCAGGTATGTGGCCTTCACTCTGATTTATGTTTAGCCTGTTGATCATACTAGTGGATTAAAACCGTAATAATAAAACCAGCAATTTGATCTTGAGATCAGAAAACTTATAACTGCAACAGATGGTCAACAAACTCTCATGATAGTTACCATCACCTTTGGGAAAGGATCGCCAAACGATAGTTCGGAATTATAAGCAATTTCTGTGGGTTGTCTACAGGCGATTGAGGATCATGAAAGAATTGAAGCCTGATCTTCACTTTACGAGGTATTTATTTGCAACAAGAAGTACAATAGGTGTAATCGGACAAAGGAGAACCAGAGAGACAAGATTAGAAAGTATTGGTGAGATCAAAAAAACAGCAAATCCACGAAAAGAAAAGCAGAAGGTGGATACGATATCAAATTAACACGAGAAGCATAACACGAGAGGGCAAATGAAAACGACGCATAAAGAAAGAATATTTAGTGGATAAGGGTGCAATATACAAGGAAATAGAGGTATGTTTCGGCTTGATGATATGAGGATTACAAGAAATAAGAAAATAAGGTGCTGAAAAGTAATGGAGGTGCCAATAAAAATAATATATATGACTACTGTAAACAGTTTGAGGGATTGATGCGGCAGAATATAAAAAGGATATTGGCCAAAATGGTGTAATCTCGAGAGTGTGAATTATGTTAAAAGTTTCCTCACAGGGTGTACTGTAAAAAAATGGCAACAGATGTAAATCTGTACATAAAGAACGAAGATTTTGTTTGTTTTCTTTTCTCTGTTTGCTTAACTTAAACTGTGCTTAAGGCGAAAGGGGGATCTTTAAATTGAAAGCACAAAAGCTCTAATAACGTAAGGTTATGACAGTTGCTGTTCTTATTACAAGCAATTTTGACAAGAGGCCAGGAAGCATATTGGGAAAAACAGTTAGGGCATTTAATAGCGCCTACATAAGGCTTTACGATATGGTGATTTTTTTCGTATTTTTGTAAGTTTCTTTTCTTTTATAGAATTTCCCTTCGCCAATGACTGACCAATGTTAAGGTCAAGGTTTCGAAGTTTCGCGTAGACTTTCTATGCTGAACACACTGAGTCTCTTCTAAAAACGGCTGGAAAAAAATTGTTTTGAACGTCATTTTAACTGGTGTTGTTATCCTTATTGTAGTAAGAGTAAAAAAAAACGGGGTGTTTCGCTAAGTAAACAGTGGGCTTATTTTACGCCCTCCCTCCGGGGAGATGTTGTGCCGGAATTTACACTTTAGATACAGCCAAAGTGAGCGTAGTCACAGCCTAGGATTGGAAACCTATTGGCTGTTCCTAAGAGATCACATGCTGTAGTGGCTGTCCCTTAATTGCCTTACACTCTGTAAAAATAAAACAAACTCTTTTCTCTAGAAAGCAAAATAAATATTGAAACTTTTGAAAGTGTCTGCTCTTTTGCCAGCATGAACACCCAATACCACCAAAGAAATCAATACCAATTTTACTAAAAACTTTCCCTCTCGAAAACAATTTTGGGACACTAATCGTCAACGTCAAAAGGACAATTGCAAATATAATTGCCCTTATTATATTAAAGTAAGAACCTCCAAAAATGAGGGGGGGGGGGTTCTCATACTCAATCTATCGAGAATGAACCTTTACGAGTTCAGTACAGAAAATATTATATTTGGCAGTAATGGAAACAAAAAAAAAGCTCGCGTCTGACTATGTTACAGGGCATTGCAAGTATCACAAAACCCAAGAATAGAGCGTTCCTTTTTTTTTCTTTTTCTCTCAGTAGCTGAATTCTCAAGACTACTCACGGGTTTAGAAAAAGAATGCACCCGGTTTTTTCTTTTATGAAGCAATCAACCATCAAGTTCTCATGGTAACCGCACTGGAAAGCAATCGATCAAGGTTAAGCCTAGTGACAGCCATGAATTATAGAGAAACATAATATTCAAATATAAACAAGGCTCGATTGTTTGCTGTTGAAGTTTTAAAAAAAAGGAAACCCAATTCGGCTGTATTTTATGTAGCTGATACAATGATCAAGGACTCAAAAAACAAGAGGACTTTAAAGACCCTGTTTTTTTCTCTTGATAATCAGACTGATAGTACCGTAAAGAAAAAAGAAGAAAAAAAAAGCTTGATTTACAAAGGACAAGATAGACGATGTAAAGGCAACGACACTCTCTTTCCCCCCAGTATTTATACACATAATAAACTCTGTATTCGGTGATGAATACATGTGTCAAATGAAATGAATTCCTAACATTGTCACGAATGATTCTTCTTTTTTGTGTGATACACAAATTGGTTTACATCGGATAGTTTGACTATTAACATCCTTGTAGTTCTTTTATGTTAATTTACCATTCTCATATACTACTTCACCACCAAATACTCGTGTATATTTTCCTTTTCCCCTATCCACTAAATTGAAAGCACTGCCCATCATGCGTAGTGGGGTGGTTCAATACAAAAGAGAGGGAAAAATTGTGTCGATTCAATACATAATGGTGAAAGTCGCTGTCTGTGGATACGGAAAAGATATTGGAGCGTTTTATTTCCCTTGTTGGTTTTGCCTTTTGTTAGACTTACGCTTGTTGAATGTCTTCTTGGTGAAAGAATAAAAATAAGCACCTAAAAATTTCTCGAAAAACTGAAAAGGTGGAATGTACGACGTGAGGTGTAGCTGGAGCCATTTCACGTCATCAAGTCGGACATGCGTATTTATCTGCCACAGCATATTAAGGCTAGAAATTGAACGTTGTGTTTCCTTCTATTTTTGTACACTGCGCAAAAAACGGTTAGCGAATGACCATCACCCCAAGAGGGCGTACCAGATCTTTTTACGAACAGCATTAGTGTACGTTTGCAGTTTTCGTTTCTATAATAGACAGCCAGGTGTCTTAACGCGGCAAAGTCGTTCTGCTTTAGACATTTCTGGGTATAACAAAGATTTTTCAACAGCTGAAAAAAAAAAAAAATGGGGCTCCCCTTCGGGTCGCTGATCCCATTTTTTAAAGGCGTATTAGACAGTCCCTCCTGACCATATATTTTTGCACCTACGCTTGCGCTTCGGTAAAAACACATGGTTCCCAGGAGGGTAAATCAATTGGGTATGTGCATGAATGCACAAAGCTTATACATTTTCAATGATACATAATAGCGTTAACAAAAAAATAAAAATAACTTGAAGATTGCATCATCATATTTGAAGGAGCCTTGATGATTATGTAATGTAAACCCTCTTAAAATGAAATCATTTTCAGCTTCAACTTTTAGACCAAACATTAGAAAACGCAATGATAATGAAAAATACAAGTACATTTTTATGCTTATTTGAGTCTTATCATATTACAAGTCTTCATTACATGAATCGTTGCACATCTTGAACAATTAACAATTAATCGCTTGTTACAAACTTACGCATCTGGCTTCACAAATGCTATGTTTCATCTTTATTTGTATTAACAAATTTTCCTTTGATAACTCAGTATTGCATTGACATCACTTAATTGTAAAATAAAGCTTTCTTTACGAATAAGCGAGTGTCCAGGATAACTATATGTGAGTCTATATATGGTAATTTAAATGTTTATTTACTTTTTTTTTTTTTTTTCATCCATTTCTTAGGCTACTAGACTCGTAAACTCCGTCTAATACGCCAAAAACAAAAAAAAAACCGCACCTCTTTTTTTTTTTTTCTCCCCACAATCTCGCAAGAAAAAGTGTAGGAAGCTTTCCATTTTTATGCCACCTTTAAAATCAGGTTAAACAGGTAATTATACAGGCATGAGGGCTCGCTTTTATTTTTGTTTTAATTTTGCTTTTAGCTTTCCAGCTGGAAACATGTTATACCGTTTATCAGGTATTTGACCTTCATTTTAATAAATGTTCGGCCTGCTGATTTAGACTAGTGGATTAACAACGTGATAATAAAACCAGCAACTGGAAATCGAGATCAGGAAACTTATAACTGCAGTTCTGACGGCCGACAAATTCTCATGTTAGATACCATCATCTTGGGGAAAGGATCGCCAAACGACAGTTTGGAATTCTAAGCAAAATCTGTGGGCTGTCTATAGACGACGAAGATAATGATTGAATTTTATTGAGGATTATGAAAGATTTGAATGCTGATCTTCACTTTACGGGGGTTTTATTTGCAATAAGTAGTAAAATAGGTGTAATCGGACAAACGAGAGCCAGAGAGACAAGATCAGAAAGTACTGATGAGATCAAAATTACAGCAAATCCACGAACAGAAAAACAGAAGGTGGATACGAGATCAAGCATAGCATGCGAAGTATGACGCGAGATGGGAGATCATCACGACGCATAAGGAATACTTTGTGGATAAGGGTGTAATATACAAGAAAATAGAGGTATGTTTCGGCTTGATGATATGAGGAGAACAAGAAGTAAGAAAATAAGGTGTTGAAAAAATATTTGAGGTACCGATGAAAATAAAGAGGTATGGCTACTGTAAATCTATTTCAAAATGTTTGGGGGATTGATGCGGGAGAATATAAAAGGGATATGGGCCAAAATGGTGTAATCTCGAGAGTGTGAATTATGTTAAAAATTTCCTCACAGGGTGTACTGTAAAAAAAACGGCAACAGATGTAAATCGGTACATAAAGAGCGAAGAATTTGTTTGTTTTCTTTTCTCTGTTTGGTTAACTTAAACTGTGCTTGAGGCGGGAGGGGGATCTTTCAATTGAAAGCACAAAAGCTCTAATAACTTAATGTTATGACAGTTGCTGTTCTTAATACAAGCAATTCTGACAAGAGGTCAGGAAGCATATTGGTAAAAACAGTTAGGGCATTTAATAGCGCCTACATAAGGCTTTACGATATGGTGATTGTTTTCGTATTTTTGTAAGTTTCTTTTCTTTTTATAGAATTTCCCTTCGCCAATGACTGACCAATGTTAAGGTCAAGGTTTCGAAGTTTCGCGTAGACTTTCTATGCTGAACACACTGAGTCTCTTATAAAAACAGCTGGGAAAATTTTTTTTTGAACGTCATTTTAACTGGTGTTGTTATCCTTATTGTAGTAAGAGTAAAAAAAAACGGGGTGTTTCGCTAAGTAAACAGTGGGCTTATTTTACGCCCTCCCTCCGGGGAGATGTTGTGCCGGAATTTACACTTTAGATACAGCCAAAGTGAGCGTAGTCACAGCCTAGGATTGGAAATCTATTGGCTGTTCCTAAGAGATCACATGCTGTAGTGGCTGTCCCTTAATTGCCTTACACTCTGTAAAAATAAAACAAACTCTTTTCTCTAGAAAGCAAAATAAATATTGAAACTTTTGAAAGTGTCTGCTCTTTTGCCAGCATGAACACCCAATACCACCAAAGAAATCAATACCAATTTTACTAAAAACTTTCCCTCTCGAAAACAAGTTTGGGACACTAATTGTCAACGTCAAAAGGACAATTCCAAATACAATTGCCCTTATTTTATTAAAGTAAGAACCGCCGAAAATGGAAGGGGGGGGGGGGGTTCTCATACACAACCTATCGAGAATGAATGTTTACGAGCTTAGTACAGAAAATATTCTTTTGAGCAGTAATGGAAACAAAAAAAAGTCGCGTCTGACTACGTAACAGGGTATTGAGCAGGAATTTAAAGGTATCACAAAACCCAAAAGAACAAAACTTTGGGGAGGGGTTTTATGAGTCCGATAAAATAGTTTAAAAGACTTATATCAACTATGAATGACTGACACAATCCGACAGGTAGCATATAAGAATTTTATATTTCACCCTAAAATAAATCAGCGATCAAAAATTGAAAAATATCGCAAACAAATTAGAGCGGAAATAACGATCTTTTTTTTAAAAATATCGCGATTGGCGATATCGATAAATTTTTCCAAAATATCGCGATTGGCAATATCGATCAAATTTTCCAAAATATCGCGATTGGCGATATCGATCAAACTTTCTAAAATATCGTTATTGGCAATATCGATCAAACTTTCCAAAATATCGCGATTGACGATATCGATCCATAAATCAAAAAAACAAAAAAATATCGTTGGATGGGGTAAAAAAAATGGGGTAATCGATAATCGATATAATATTACTTTTACACCCCTGCTAAATCAGGATACAGGCTTAAAATTGATACGTTTGTATATATTGGAAAAAAAAAAATTTTATTTATAAAAAAAAACTAAATAACGTCGAATCTGATCATGATAGACCTCTTCAAATATAGAAAATGACCAGTAAAATATGACCAGAGACAGACATAATGAGAGGAACTACGATAATGACCATACGAAGACCTCGGAAGAGCAGCAGTATTCACTTACCTGCATAAAGATGGTTTACGTTAATAAGAGAATAAATTATCAAGTTTAGCAATGTGTACCTTTACAAAACCGTGGGATGTACGAGCCTCAAATAAACAGCGATAGTAGCTAGCTTTAGGAATTTGGGTTAACTAATAATGAACACATAAACCAAAGTCGAGATATTTACCTTTTCACAAGCGGTGAAAGTAGAGATGGCTTCAGCTATACAAATGTGTTAATACATATAAAAAGAGTAAGTAAATTTACTTTTAAAGCAAAGAGTCTTGGTTTAATCCGTTTGGAGAGTGTCAGCACGTTTAATGTTT